TTAGAGTTTAAACTCCTTAAAGAGGTGTATATGGGGTTTAGGGTTTAGAGTTTAAACTCCTTAAAAAGGCTTATTTGGGGTTTAGGGTTTGGAGTTTAAACTCCTTAAAAAACCTTATATAGGGTTTAGGGTTTAGAGTCTCAACTTCCTAAAGAGGCTTATACGGGGTTTAGGGTTTAGAGTTTAAACTCCTTAAAGAGGCTTATATGGGGTTTAGGGTTTAGAGTTTAAACTCCTGAAAAAGGCTTATATAGGGTTTAGGGTTTAGGGTCTAAACTCCTTAAGGAGGCTTAGATAGGGTTTGGTGTTTAGGGTCTTAATTCCTTTAAGATGTCATAGAGCGGATTATACAGGGGAGTAATAGAGAGGTTGTCAAGGGGGATACCAGGAGTTCAGACTATAGCTCATATGGGAGCTTCAGTAACTGATCCCTATCTAACTAAATAGGAGCCCCAACAATTCCCGGTGATCCCCAACATGGTTGCATGGTTCTTACCGTAATAAGTGCCCTGCCTTTGAGAAGCCTTATGCGATGGACGGTGGATACTGAAAAACCTGCATGACCTTAGGTACCTGATATTTTGGGAAATTTGGTACTACAGTATGTTCAGGTCATGCAGAAATTTCATGTCAACAGTATGGTTCACAGCGACACCGAGCTTGATCCTCAAAACATGTTGAAGCCCACTCAGCTTAGAGGAGATTCGTGCTCATACTTCCTTACTTCGAACGACAGAACATGAGCTACGGTCTAAACTCCTTGAAGGTTGCTGTATAGGGGAGTATACAAGGGGAGTGTTTACCCATATGCGTCGACGCTAGTAGAGGCAATGCTTACTTGGTTCAACCTTAAAAAACCAAACCTCAGGTGGATTGCAGCTGGCCGGACAAAGGCTCCTGGCAGGCGGGCCCCTAGTCTTTTCTAGGGAGTGAAGGAGAAAGAGCATGGAAATTTGGAGTAACCATAAAGGGTTTGCAACTTGGACAACCTTCCAACATGCACATGTGGGAGTTTGAAAAGCCTGGGGTTGCCCTTTAGGAAGAAGCAACAATCAGAAGGCATCCCGCCTTCTTCAGAACATCATACCTTGGGTCATTCCCCCATGCAGTACTCGTAACTGTCCTTAAAAGGGTTTTGTTACGGGAACTGTCCTGACAACAGTTACTGTGAAGGGAAATGATTGAAGGGATGCTTTTGCATCAGCCCTCTGAGATTGTGAGAGGCCTTCTCCTTCTGCCCGGCTGATGCGGGCACCACCACATCAGCGGCTTTGACCAAGTGTGGAGGTAGGTAGGCTGTGCATGAGGTGATAGAACCATCAGCAAGTGGCTGTTGTAAGAGAGACCTGCAGATGAAGTGCTGACCCTCCCCCCAAAATAGCATGTAACCTGAAAGGCAAGCCGGCATATGGTAGTTTCCCTTACTAGGGGACACCAATAAGATATAGACTCCAATATACTATAATCCTTATCATTGGGAACCCCCCCAATAATGGTACACCTAATTCGGATTTTCATGTTAGCTTGGCGGGGGGTGTCTTGCTGCAGACGCTTGACAACCCAGGAGAAGGATGAGAGGCCGAACGTTCAGCGAGCTGATACGACAAATTGGAGTTTCCCAAACTTGGGCCTACCTTAGAGATTATGTGGGTGTTATAGTGGTAAAGGGTTTAGTGACTAGGGTTTAAGGTTTTCCCAAAATTGGTTGGTTGTACCCTTTTGGGGGTCCCAATAAAAAGGATTATTGTATTTTGGGGTCTATTTTGGGGTTCCCCTATATTGGGAAACTGCCAAACTCCCGCATGACCTATTCTATACTAGACTACCGCGATTCCAGGGAAGACAATACTCAACGTCATGTAGGATTTGCAGTATCAACCGTAGCTTTCAGGGTTGAGTGATCTGTAAGTAGCCATATTGCAAGCATGCTGATACCCCAAAGCCTAAGTCCTAAACAGTAGTTTCCACTTTCTTTTCCATTATCCCAATATATCCCCTATACACTAATCCTGAATCCCTGAATGTTACTCAAAATGTACAGTTCCCCTATGTAGCCAGGGTGAGGCCTTATATGGTGGTAGTGCTGTAAACTGTGGACCCTAAATGGTAGTTTCCGTTTTATCTTTTTGTTATCAAAGGCTGGCCCATGCGCATCCCTCCATGGCCGATCAGGGCTGATGGCCGGTGTTTATGCTTGCAAGGAGCCCACCCAAACTCAAAGGCAAGGGTTCCCCTACAACGACGACCGACGACGAGGACGACTACTACCACTCCCCCAGGTTCCCCCTTAATGTTCCTTCATTAAGCCTGATTAACCAAAAAATGTAAACTTCGGGGGGAGGGGGGGGGGGCGAGTAGGGGAACCCATGTAAAACACCAGAGCAATGACGACGGTAGTCGTGCTGGGCCAATTGCGTTTTAGATTTTGGGGTTCAGGGCTGACTTGTCTCGTCTGGGTTGGCCTGTGTAAGTGGTACCTCAGCTTCAGGCTGGGTAGGCCCCTGGGATATTTAATATCTAGGTACCCCAGGAATACACTCTTCCCCTTTTCATTTTTTGGGGTCTCCTTATTAAATCTGAACATTAGGAAAAAGGGTACCCTGATTATTATGGTGTTACTGGGGAACCTAGATATTTTCCCTAATGGCTTTAATAAGGGACCCTATATACTCATTTTTTAAAGGGCTTTAGGGGCCAACCCAGCAACACAATTCAATTCCAAGCAAGCACGTTTAGTTGGATGCGGTAGTTGTCAACAACACGCTACGGTTTTGGGGCCGTGTTTCAGACTGTGACCCTACTTCTCCTGCTGAAACAATTGATTAAAAAATGAAAGAGGACTGGATGGGACCCCCAAGACAGGACCTTCTTAATGTTGTAGACCCATGATAAAGAAAAACCCTTCCTGAAAAAGGCCTTAATATTAGGATCCCTATTACAATCCCGCTTAAGGGGAGGGATATATTAATCAGGTGTCTACATTATGTGTGACGCCACGAAGACTTTGGAGGCGGCCAGTTCGTCACCGAGACATTCTACGGATCCGGGCACACAACGGCTTTTTCCTGGCCGTGCCCAGCACCCCCAGCTTTTTAGGGTTTAGGGTTTAGAGGTTTGGGGTTTAGGGTGCATGGCATAGGGATGGCAGGATTTGCGACATTCTTAAATGAGGGCTTCAAAACGGTTAGGGGCCCCTATTCCTCTAAGTTTCCATAATGAGGATTATTTGGGCGCCCTACTCAAGGAACCCCCAAAACAAAACAAGGATCGCCGTTTCCAGTATTGAATATGGCAATTCGGAGTGCAGTCTGCAACCACGTTCAAGGGGGTCTGGAGGCTCTGTAAGATGTTTTTCCTCCGCTGGTCCTGATCGTCTGCACCTGCTCCCTTGAAACTTCCGGCCCTATAGTCCCTAAACCCTAAACCCACATTGCGCTTTTCGATTCGCACCCCTGAGAATATTCCTGACCACTTATTGGAAAGCTCTGAAACCCGAAGTCCCTGGTCACCTGGACCTTGCAATCTCCTTCCCTAATGTTAAACACCACCCCCCCTCAGGCTAACAATGATACCATTGTGTACTGTGAGCGGTTGATATTAGGGCTTAGTCTTCAGGCAAAGGAAAGACAATTCCTGGTGGGGATTTCTGGAAGTTTTGGGGGGGCTTGAACTTAGTGGTTGTGGGGTTTGGGGAGGCTTTTTGGTTTAGGCTTTTGGGAGTTTGGGTCTGTGTGTTTCACCGCTAAACCCTGAAACCTGAAGCCCCAAAACGGCTTACTTCCCCCTTCAGCCTTCACACACCTGAGGGATCCAAGTATACAACTAATACTTACATTGGGCTCTGAAGTCTGCCTATGAGCTATAGTCTAAACTCCTTAAAGGGGGTTTATATAGGGGATTATATAGGGGACTACTATAGGGGTTATTAAGGGGGATACTAGGAGTTTAGACAGTGGCTCATATATGGCCTACATTGGGCTAGTTGGATGACAGTAATAGCCAGCCTGCGCGGAGTCGCCAGGTGATGCGGCTCGGGGTGCCTTGGTGCTGGCCCTAGTCGGGAGTTGTTCAGCAGGTTTAGGGTTAGAGTTGCTTTAGGGATTGCAGAGATATTATCATTACCCCCAATAAAGGAAAGTTACATGGACAAGAAAGGGGAAAGTTAAGTGGAAACCTCGGCTGCATCTCTCAGTTTGCAGGGTCCAGGACTTCCCTAACTTAGGTGTACTTTCCTGGGGATTGCTGTAACCCTAAGGGCCCAAGTACCCAATAATCATCTACTTACCCAAAACCTGTACTATAAATACTATTACCCAAATCCCAAGTACCTAATTATTGGGTACATGGACCCTCTGGGTAATACGCGTTAGTTAGAATCACGGTTAGAACGGTTTGTGGTGTATATTTGGGCTCCATTCTTAACGGAAGCTACCAGTTCAATGGTGCAGTGGTAGTGGTAGCTTCAACATTTACCCGTGGTATTGAGGGTACTGGTGTTGATGAACTATTGAGGGTACTGGTGTTGATGAACTTTGCCCAAACCCTGAACTAGAAGTTTCCATTTCCTTTTCCATTATACACATATGAACTCTAAACCCTGAACTATTTCCATTATACCCATATATTGTTGATGAATTTTTGCATGGTGACAGAGCCGGCGGAGTTCTTCCTTCTTAGAGTCTTTAGCGTGATTGTTCTTCAGGGCTGCTACAATGATCCAGGGCATAGTTGGTACTTCCTTGGAGAGCCATGGGGTAAGCTATGACCAGGGTTACGAGTAAGTTCACCTATAGCAAAAAAAATGGCTATGAGGTTATGAGCCTAGCTGGCTCTTGTATACCGACTGTCAAGGACCTGTCTCAAGTGAGCTGTAGAGTCTAAACTCTAAGGACTTTAGGAGGGGCCCCTAATAGGGACCCTTGTAGCTTATGGGGACTAATATGGGGACTACCTAGGGNNATATAGGGGTTATACAATGACTACATAAGGCTTATATATGGTAATGGGATTAAGGGTCCCTATTAGGGGTCCCTCCTAAAGGTCCCTAGATAACCTCAGGCTGGTCGATGTTGTTGTGGCTGTTCGCGGCTGGAGGTCACTACCACCCGCAGCAAAACCTGCAAAGAAGCGGAGTTTGAGGCCCTGACGTGCTGTAAGGGCGCCTGTTTAATGAGAATAGGGTCTCGGCGTGTATGGGTACAGGGTTTAGGGTACTAGATTTAAGCAAGGGTTCGAAGCTTCATGGGGGTAAGATTGGCGATTATTCTGGGATCTACGGTGTTGTTTCGTCAGCGTCTGGCTACATCGGGTGCCGGAACAGCAAAACAACGTTCAGAATCTCTTAGATGCAGCAAGGGAAGACTGAAATGGTGGTCCTATAAGAGGCATACTGTACAGGCCTAAATAGGGCTTAGGGTATAAAGCCAACATTGTGGTCCTACATTCCTTGTATAAGTGCGGTCTAGGGCTATTTCAAAAAGAGGTCAGATTGATAGTCGTATTTAATTGGGGCCCTGCAGTAATCATATAGTCCATGTTCTTGCAGAGTTAAAATGCGCATTGTGGTGAGCAGGGCCTGCAGAACACTTATTTACGGGCTTCCCACGTTTCTGCCCTTCTTTGGGTGTCCCCAGAACTGGAGAAGTTGATTTCTGGGGTTTTTGGGTAGTTGTGAGGATTCCCCTTTCTGTGAGGAACTACCCTTTCTCAGACCGACGGATACAATATAGAGGTTTTTACAGGTTTAGGAGTATAGGGGGTTAGAGATATTACCCACATAATGCAGGACATGCTACTTTCGGAGTTCCGGGTATCCCTCCATGGAACTTGGACCCCAAACCGTACGGAAAGCTGGATCCAAGCCAATAAATCATGAGTTCGGAAAACGGGAGACCGCACCTAGCCTGAGGCTACATACCCACGAGCGTTTACAGGCCCGTTGCAAGGACTCGTCGATTCCTTCTGGGGTATACGGGGTGCACGCAGAGTACATATTCGGGCCCATATGGACAAGATTTTTTGCATGACCTCATATACTTAAACCACGGGAGTCACGGCGCCATAACATAGTAGCGGTTGTGCACAGTTCTGTGCCATCAATGGCATTCTGACCTAAACCCTAAACTCTGAGTCTTGGATCTTTGAACCTAAACCCTAAACTCCAATTTTTGGATCTTTGAACGAGAGGTTTTGCTCCAGCATTCCAGCATCCTGAAACATCGGGGAATGGCGCCGGAAGCCTCAGAGCTGTTATGAGGTATTTAGGGATATATACATATGGGGGATTGTCAAAATTATGGTACCCATTAGGGTAATATTAGGGTAATATTAGGGTTATATTAGGGTTATATGGGGGATAATGGAAAAGAAAATGGAAACTACTATAGTATAATAGGGATGATATTGTGGGTGGTGGGATTAGGGTACCTACTACCCCCAATAATGGAGAATCAAATGGAAAAGAAAATGGAAAATGAAATGGAAACTGGTGTTGTATAGGGGTTTATAGGGATAGGGGTTTCTCAAAATTAGGGGTACCTTTTTGGGGGTCCCAATAATAAGGATTATAATATTTTGGGGGTCCATATTGTCTATATTGGGGTTCCCCTTATTTTGGGAAGTTGGCCATGTAGGGGTTAGAGGTTTTAGGTTTAAGGGCTCAGGGTCTAGGGCTGAACTTCCTAGGGTGAACTGTACTTATGGGTTGGGGGTTAGGTTCTACAAGGTTTATGGGGCCCAAGCCCCCCCAAACTCCAAACTCCTAAACCCTTAACACTAATTCCCTAAACCCGAAACCCCACGTCTCTAAACCCTAAACCCTGTAGGGTAAGTTCCAAAGCTTGTCATTTTAAGAGCTTTAGAGCTTCAACTTCCGAAGTGATGTCCAATACTCATGCCACAAGGATCCCGAGTTTCAGCGATTAGGGGTCCCTTTAAAAGAGTATATAGGGGTCTGTATAGGGATATTTAAGGGTAGATGGGGTCTGGGGTTTCAAAAAGCAAGTCTTGCTTAAAATGGCTCCGCCTGGCAAAGTATTTGGGAGGATGGATTGTGCACATATCCAAGACTGAGATAGAAACAATTTCTGGACAAGCGCGCTATCCCAAACCACAAGCTTTGAATCCAAACCGTTATTATCATAATGGTGCTTATTATCGTCATCATTGAAGTCATATAATGTATTGTTAAAAGTTATTGCTACTACTATTCAGATTCGTCTTATTGTTTGTTATCATTCCATGGCGCCATTACTATCTGTCAATATTGGTATTACTGTTACCATTGCTAGGCTTATGTGTATACACATAGAAAATTTCCTTACTGGCAAATAGAACATCTGTAGCCGACAAGCGAAGAAGCCGTGCGTAAACCACATAACCCTAATATAACCCCAATATAACCTTATAATATAACGCTGATATAAGCCCAATATAACCCTAATATAACCCTGATATAACCCCAATATAACCCTGATATAACCTTAATATAACCGTCAGGTACTTCTTTAGCCGTGCGACCGCCACCACATTGGATGCGGATGAGGACAGAACAAGCCCCACAGCGCAAACCCCGGGACCCAAAGTTTTCCCTAAACTGTGTTGGTGTACAGGAAGTTAAGTTAAGTCGCCATAATATGGTTAGATGTTTGACAACGGGATTCCCTTGTTGTGGTGAATTTGTTTAAGTCCCTTAACAGCAACCCTGTAGAATGCACTCCACAAGCGCGAAGTCCTGAAAGCTTCAGCCGTGGATTGGGGCAACTCAAAACGTCTCGAACTTTAAAAGCTTGATATAGAGTCTCTGCGAAGCATGTGTTATCGGCTATTTCCCAGCATGCAATCACAAGACGCCCTTAGTTGGTGTTTAGCCAGGATTGCTTGCATATCGTTCTTATAGAGGGATTGTACCGGGAGTTCAGCAGAGTTCAGGATTGTGGCAGACGTTTCTGCATTGAGGGCGTACAAACGAGAACAGTGGTAGTTGGACATAAAACTGCCTTGCAGTTGCAATGAGATGCATGAAGTCTACCAGGCTTCTAGTGAGCTTTGACGGAGGACCCCTTCTCCTTCAGGGTTTAGGGTTCCCCGAACCCCCAACCCTACTTTCAAGCGGAAGACCCTATTCCCCAAACGCCAGGCCTGAATCCCCAAAAGCCGGACCCTTGCACTGTCCCCCCAAACCCCGGAAGTCCAAAGCTATCTTGGAAGCCTCTTGGGTCAAAAGCATATGGGAATTTACGGAAATAGGGAGCCCTCAATGTGAATCCCAGGATGCTGTAGTCCTCATCCCCATATCATATCTACATAGAGCCTTTAGGCTTCAAACCCTCAACCCAAAACCCTAAACTCAAACCCCCGAACCCTAAGACCTGAACCCGAAACCATTATCCCAAAACCCTAAACCCAAAACCCTTTAGCCACAGCCCCAAAACCCAAGCCCTAAACTCAAACCCTAAACCCTACACCCTTGGTTTGATGAAAACCCTAAACTCTGCACCCTAGATTTGGGTTTCCAAGCTGATGAGGACGAGTCTGGAATGAGAGCTCGTTGGGCTGACTTTGGCGACTGGCAGGCGGACGTGGGAGGTTTCCAATTCATCCTTTGAAGGGGATATGGGAGTTTTAGGGTTTAGGGTTTAGAAGGGGATATGGGGGAGCTTCCCAATGCAAGGAGACCCCAATATACACCTCAAGATACTGTAAACCTTATTCTTGGGATCCCTAAATTGGTACCTCTCATTATGGAAACCGCCCATATGTAGGCAACAGAGGGATATAGATATCTAAAAGGGCATAGAGCTTCGACATGAGGATTTTGTGGTTCGCGGCACTCAGGGGTGCCTTTTTGGGGGGTCCTCAGAGTTAAGGGCTATAGTATCTTGGCGTCTATATTTGGGGTCCCGCATGTATAGAAGCTACCACTGTGCACGCCTTTGGGTTTTGCGTTGCGGGCCATTGAGAGCTCATTCGATCGGGACAGAAGGAGAGTGATCATGAGGGTCTACATGCTCCATGAGGGCTTAGCTTGGACCTTAAACCCTGAACACTTTGGGATTCCCTGATATTCCTATTATAGGTACCTAAGGGTTAACCCTTAGTGGGGGTCCTAAGTACCACGTAGCATGGGGATCACCTGGAGGGTTGCAGAACAGGGCCGGTTTTCTTTAATGAGCTTAAGCTTTACTTGCAGTTTCTGCGAGGAGCAACGGTGTGTGCATGTATCTGGTGTTTGTTTTGGGGACTAGTGAAAGTCCTGCTTGATATGCGGATGCGCTAATCATTTGTAGAACATTAGGTACCTATGCCATGATTAGGTTTGAACGGCCCTTCAAACGCATGGCTGTGTGCAAAGTGCTGCCATGGCCCGATTGTGGCTGGCCATCCGACACATTCACCCACCCCACGCCGTCTGAGGCGGCCACACCACCCAAACCTACTCCTATTGTTTCGGACCTGAACTGCATTAGGTCCATCTGGGTCAACAACATGAATATCTTTACAGCCAGCCCATTGGTTCTAGAATCCAAGATGTGCCCTTGCTTTCTGAAGGGTTTTTTGGAAGAGCCTGGAGGCCCCTGAAGGCTCCTGCAAGGCCAGGGAGGCTCAGCGGCTCTAGAAGGTTCTTCAAAGGCTCCAAAAACCTTGCACATCTGTGTGGGAGGTTTCTTGAAGGCCCTGATAGCTCCTGGGCCCTCGTGAGGCCCGTGAGTTTCGGTACTGGTTAAGCTGTATATGGCATAGCTTCGTAGAACTTATACTTTCGGGATGCTGTGCAACAAGCTTGGTCTGCAGCTGATTTATTTCATTACAGTGGTTGATTGTCACTTCTGTCCTAACCCTATCCAGAAGTAGAACTACTGGGCAATTTAAAGCGACCTCACCCGACCTGACCCTAAATTGTGGTTTAAATAGGGACTAGTACCAAAATGGCCTTAACTTGGGAATTGAAATTATTGTACAATTTCCTGGATCTAGTACCTGCGTTGTCCATGCGCAGGACGGGATGGTCCATCATCGCCAAACCTAAGCCCCAACCCCTGAAATACTGAACCTTAAGTCATATAAGCTCTACCATTACTTACGGTTTCCGAATGTCCTTAATCTCAATTTTTTGAAGTGTCAAGCTCAAAATGACCCCCCCAAACCCTAAGTAATGTTAATACACATAGTCATGCCTACTCCTGCCAGGCCATTGCCGTGGAGCCATGGCTTACTCACAGAAGGTTTGTGCTGGGCCAGGGAGGTCATATCCTGTAGTCCCCGCTTGCTACTGTAGATTATGTTGCTCTTCCCTTCCTCCGCTTACAGAGTAGGAGTCTGTTCTCCAAAGACCTTGCAGGGAACCCTCTGTGCCTTCCTTTTACTGGTGTCATGGAGTTAGAGGGTTTTGTTCGTTATCCTTGTCCTTGTTGCAACCAATGGTAGCTGGTAGCAGCAAAATCAGTCGATGCAACCATGGTGGTTGTTTCTAATGGCCATTGGGCCGGCGTTGTCATCGTAATGCTGCTGCTCTTGTCACTCACATGGCAGTGTAGTTCTTGCACCTAGGACCAGAAGCTACCTCAATAGCGTGATGACATGTATCTAGGGTTTCGGGTTTAGGGTTTCATTCCAGCGGGCTCTGCCGCATGTCGAGGTGCTCAAGGTTGCACAGTGTAGTCATACCGGGTGCGAAAAAAAAACGTTCAAGTTCAAGTCCGACGTCAGCAAAGCCTGGTAGCTGTGGTTTAGGCTCATGCGCAACGGGTAGAAGAAATGCAGGATGCGGAATCTCATTGAGACCTGTATCATTCTTGTGGCGGGGGCCTGAACATCTGCGAATGTCTGTGTCAAGAAATCCAAAAACACAGGTGTGAGCCTAGACCAAGAAAGCGGGTAGATTCTGAATATTTATACCATAATATACTGTAATATCGTAGTTTCTATGTTCTTTTCCATGATCGTCATATAGCCCCTAAGTAACCCCCATTTTATACACCCAAGAGAGCCCAAATAAATACCCCAGTATTTACCCCAATACAACCCCTATATAACCACAATATATCCCGTATGTAACCCTAATGGCTTCATCCGGGGGACTTAGCCTCAACTTTCAATTCGGTCAGATGAAGCCTGTTTCCCACCCCAACCCCAGGGCACATGGCCTTCATGCTGGTGGCCCTGTAGATGAAATATAGTCCCCTTAAGTAGATAGGCTTACATTGGGAGGGGTTCTAATAGGATAATGAAAAAGAACATGGAAACCACTATTTAGGGTTTAGGTTATAGTCCCCCTTAAGTAGATAGAAACTCGGGCAATTATGTGGGGATCTTATTATAATATACCCAAAGCCATATTCTATCTACCTAAGGGGGACGATAATACTATAAGTCATAACTATGAAAGTGCGGCCACGAGGGTCTAGAATGGTATCATGACGGCGATTGCTGTTAATCGCTTAATAGTAAGGTGCTCCGAAATATATCAGGTGTGTTATGGAGTATACTTAGCATCAGGGTGTGAAGCATTAGGGTGTGAAGGGTTGTTTAATGTCAGTATGAACGGGATATGATGGGATCAATGCCCAAAAAAGCCAGTTTCCATGTCATGTTTCCATGTTCTTTTCCATTTAGTTCTCGATTACGCAACCCCCAGCAGTATGAATCTCAGTACCGATTCCCTCATCCTACCTGCTACTGGGGCCTGAGTACCCACTATTAGGGGCCATATATCCCCAATTAGGAGCTCTTGACGTTTTGAGGGATTAGTAACCTTTCCGAAAAGCAAAGGAGCGGCCTGCGCAGCAACAGCGCAAGGCGGGAGTTTTGCAAATCTCGGAGATCACAGGGATTAGGGGTATGTAGTCCCCCTGATGTAGATAGAATATGGCTTTGGGGTATATTATAATCTACAAGGTTCCTGAAAACAAATATTTCTTTCCTACTGGGGCTCCAAATCCCTTAGGATCCCCATATACCCCATATTCTATCTACTTAAGGGGGACTATATGGGCCTTATGGGGGTTGCATAGGGACGGCAGCCCGGGGACGGAAAATCAACTGGCAAAGAGCTGGGGGTTGTGTGGATTTTTATTGGTGGGTTTAGGGTTTAGGCTTTAGGGTTTAGGGTTTAGGGTTGTTTCCCTGACATCTAAACTAGGGGGATGTTTCTAGGACATTGACAGCCTAAAAAAAGGGGAGGGTTCCCATTTCATCCGTAGTCCAAAATACATTCCTAGTTTTGTTTCCTTTGTGTCCCTTGACCACAGGCCTTCCCCCATGAACCTTACACTAAACCCTGAATCCTAAACTCTGAAACCTTAGCCATCAACCCTAAGCACCAAACCCTAATCCCTTATCCCAAATCCTTGAGCCCCCAGATGGGAAAGTACCTCTAAGACACTTCTAGATTCCCTTCTGACGTACCCTCTAAGTGTGGCTGGGCAATTTAAAGCGGCCTCACCCTAGATAGTGGTGTATATAGGGAACAGCACCAATATGGCCTGTCATTGGGAATTGACATTATTCTAAATTACTCTGAGCGTTTCCTTCTCAGGAGGTCTGTCCGATCTTAGGGTTGCCTGGTAAGGAACGCACCCTATCAAGCTCCCTAAGCCCTAGACCCTTCCCTAGGGATCCAAGTATACAAGAATTACTTACTTTGGGCCCCAAAGTCTGCAAAGAATTTCCTACATTGGGCTGTTTGGTTCCCTTAGGCTTTCGAGTACGTCTCAGGTATGCCTGGACAGCCTTCAGCAGCAGGCTCCACCACGGACAAGACTGCGAGGCTCTGAAGGGAGAGGCAAGAATTGGAGCCCTTTAATGTTAACACGCTGTTTAGGGTATAGGGTTACAATCGTATCAATATAGGGCTTATTACTCCCTGTATAGTCCTTATTGGCTCCCTGAGCCCCCAGGGTATAGGGCCTATGTAATGGATTATAGGGTTAGATAGGGTTTAGGGCTTAAGGGCTACCACAATGAAACATCAAATGAAAAAAAACGTGGATGTGAAGTGGAAACTGGGGCTATACACTGCTTGAGGGGGATAATTGCCAATGTTATAGTTCTAGATTCCCTGTAGAAGCATAGTACAGGCACCTCAAAGTAGATCTCTACATGATATTGGCAGTATGCAGAGCCCTGTATGATCCAGGGACATCTGGGGACACGGAGGGGTTATATACGGATATATGGAGTTATAGAGGGATACATGGGATTCAGGTTTCCCAGAATGGCAGGGCCTTCTTGGAAGCCCCCATAGTAAGACGTATAGTCTTTCGGGGCATACAAGGTGTACCAGGTTGTGGCCTTCCACGCATGTTGAGAAGTATATAAAAGATTCCTGCGGTCGATATGAAATGACCCTGAGCGGCCCTCAAAAGTCATACCTTCAGGACTAGGAAGTTCTACTACAGAAACCTGCTGCAGGATGTTTGCTTTAACAGTAGGCTCCATTATCCCTATGTCACGCCAATATACTAGTTTCCATATTATTTTCCATTATCCCTAGATAACCCCAATATATACCCTATAATCCCTATATAATCCATTGTAGTAGTTTCCATTCTATTTTCCATTTCCCCTATATAACCTCAATATACTACAGTGGGCCGCCGTATTCTCCTCATACGCCGTGAAGGTCATCGCACTCCGAGGGGTGCAGGGCACCCCGATTTTGAGAAGCACTCCTCCATGTGAGCTATAGTCTGAACTCCTTACAGGGGGTTACATAAAGGACTATATAGGGGAGTGAGATTGGGGCTATTATACGGGGGATAATAGGAGCTTAGACTATAGCTCATGTGTTTCTTAGAATATGTATCTTTTGGTGTTTAAGCCAAATGCCAAAACCTTGTTCTTTGGATTCCACGCCAGGGACGCCTTGACTCACCAACAACCACTTTTCCTAGGTCCCTGAGGTCCTTAACCCTATACCCTTAGTGTTTGGGGTTTGGGTATATACGTCATCAGTGCAGTTGTGGTCATGTTGTGGTCATGTACCACCCTGAGCCACATTATACAGGCAGCGAAACGGTCCAGAAAGAATACGTGCCAAAAGTTTGAAGTTGTTTCGTGTGCATTTCAAAGTGAGGTCTCGTATTATCCTTGGACGGCAATAATGATAATCATAGTTAATAGTAACAATAAGAAGAATAGTAATAGTAGTACTAGTAGTAATAATAATCACAATACTGGAGCCTGAAGCCGAAAACTAAACCACCTCCGCACTGAATGCAGGCCGTCGCGGATGCAAGGAAAGCCGCTTGCTCAGTCAATTGAACTGCAATTTCATCAACGAAGCAATGGCCTTTGTTTCAGCAAGCGCAAAAGAGTTTTCATAGGCGATCACTGATGGCCTACGTTTGCACAGTTTGTTTCGAGCTGGCAGCGTTCATGCTCTAGCTCGCTGATCCTGCATGCGCTGCTAGGAGTACAACCCCGCATAGTAGCCTATCTAGCAGAGCAGTACGTTCGTGATCCCCCCTCAGGGGCGCCCCCAAGAGGAAGATTGAAGCGAGTTTTACATGAATCCCGAAAAAGTTCCTATGTACTTGTGAGCAAGACTGCGATGTGATGCTGCTTGTTGTCATCATTGTGTAGAACTTCAGAAAGGGAGTGTTGCTGACTCTGTACCCCACAATGGGCCACTAGGTGCTACGGGCCCTTTGATCTTCTCTCATTCGGGTCCTTTCCCCTAAAGCCTAAACCCT